GCGCGTACGGGACAGACGCGTCGACGGTGTATGGGTTAGCGGCGTTTGGGCTGCTGTTGGTTGCGCAGGCGTTAATTAACGGCGTTACCAAGTGCTTCTGCTTTGGGAGAGGGTTGGTGGGTGGCGGCGGCTCCACTACTTGTGCTGTTCTGCTCTTCATTTTCTCATGGTAACCTTACTTTGCCCCTTTTTTATCCCGATTTCTCTGCATATTTGTGAGAATTTTTGCTGTTCTTTAGTCTTGTTTGTTTGTTTATTTGTTTGTTCACTTAATTCTTAGGTTTGTTGAGTAATTTTGTTGATATTAGTGATGTTTTTGGCTGTTGGCTTTGTGATCATATGCCGTGAATTTCCTGAACTTAGTATCTGAAACTACTGTAGTCTGTGAACGATTGATTAGCTAATTCGTTTGGTAACATATTTTACGACGGCAATAAGTGTAGGTGAACTTCTTTGGTCACATTTCAAGTCGATATTCTGTTAGGAAGTGGTGAAATTGGCATCCCAATATGCTCTAGTAAAGATTTGGTTATGAAAATTGCAGATAAAATCTGTTAAACATTATGCCGGGAGATACTTTGCATTTCAACGAACCTTGAGCAATTTTATTACAGTATTCTGAGAACAAACATGTTGTGGATCGGGAACTCCATGCTTTCGGCTTGGTTACATTTTTCGGTAATATTAGTAAAGTATGTTGCTGAATGTGGCATGAAGTTGTAGAAGTACATGAAGTCCTTTGCTTTTGTCGACTAATTAATTATTAAAAAAATTTCACTTTTGATGATTGTAACCGACCAGCAAACCCGATTCATTTTTTGGGTAGTTTTTTCATCCCCCGCTCTCTGTTTTTGAACTATTGAGCTACCAATTACGAACAGAATCTTAATAGACTCGTATGATGACATCAGTTCAGCTCATGCATGCACATTTGACATATGACAGAGTACACAATTTGCTTGCTAGATTCTTAATTTTGCTCATCCTGCCATTGTGCTCCTGTAGAGGGGCTTTTCTTTTGGCTATACAAGCTAAAAGCTGTAATTCTGTAAATGTATTCAAGAATCCTTTCAGTATCGATCTTTGTCATCAATATTTTCATGTTGGAATTCATTTTGTTTTAGATAACACAGAACCTATCTGAACACAAAGGTTCGTTATTGGTGCATTGATTTTTGTGATTCTTTGAAACTAGAATATAAGTAAATTTTTAGTTGAAGTTCGGATCTTTACTAATAGATCAGGCGAACCAGCAACTTCGTTTTGTGAAAAATGATGACAACATTATTACTTGTTTGCAGTTTTCGAGCCTTTTATTTTCTGAAAATATATTTGATACAGGGTGAGCTTTCTGGCGGCTGAGGCGTGCCTGCTGGCAGGTTCGGCTAAGAATGCTTACCACACAAAATACAGAGCCATCTTTCTTGTGGAGCACTTGTCCTGTGCCACTCTTCGTAAGGGCGTGTTTGCTGCTGGGGCTGCCCTCACGCTCTTATCAATGGTGGCTTCGATTTTATATTATTGGGCCCACTCGAAGGCTGACACAGGCGGATGGGAAAAACACCGCAATGAAGGGCTCGGGTTGACTGGCTCGAATTTTACAGAGAATGAGCACAGGATGAAGGCTGGTGAAATTGAGAAAGTCTAATTTTTATCATTTATTTATTTATTTTTTACTGCTTAGGTTGTGTTTAGATGCAATTGTGCTTGATTAATTGCTATAACCATTGCAAATATGAGGAATTTTACATGTTTGTTCCAATGCTAATATTATGGCCAACTTATGTGCGGGGCTGTAGCAGTTACAATGATTATCATTTTGGTTATGTATCAGTTCAAAATATGTAATGATGTAAAATAAAATTACAATGCATCCGAGCATGCTACTTTCATATGATACTTTAGAGTAATATAGGATCGATAAAAAGTGAATATAGATTATATTATATGCAAGTTCTATAAGGTATATAGTTCTTCAGAAATAACAAGGTACCCTAAAACCCGAGATGGAAAGAAGACACTCGTAGGTTCAGGAACAAGCAATCAAGCAATCGTCACTCGCAAATCAATTAATGAGTTTTCAATCAATTCTCGCTCAAGCAATCAACAGCAAAATCACATAATCCTTGACCTACGAGGATGAATGCATAGTTTACTCATGAAAGCTCCTACCTTTACCCTAGAAAAATCCAATAAGTAAAGGCAAGAAAACCTTACGAGATCTTGGACTTCAACTAAGTCTCCAATCGGATCTTAAACGAAGTCTCCAAGTCTCTAATGGATCCACAAGAAGAAATAAGCTGGGAAGTTGCAATATTGATAAAGAATTATTACAATAAAATAGGGGGTGGAGCCCTTAAAGAGAGAAAGAGAATGTAGAGAGAGAGAGAGAGAAAGAGAGAGAGAAACTAAGAAAAAAATATTCAAAATGACTAATTCTTCGAGAAATACAAAGCAACAATTCTATTTATAGCTACACCACAAAGACACACTAAAACACATACATTTAATAAGAAAATTTTGCCCAATAAGAAATTTGGCTAAAAAATTTGCCCAGACACGAGCTGGCAAGTGCTGGCGTGGGCAG